GATACGATACCACACACTTTGCGAGAGCTCAAATGCTAAACTTTGATCATTCATCAAATTTCAACACCCACCCTCCTCCCGGTTCTGACAGCTCCCAGCCTCAGCATCGGTATGAATCCCCCCTTCAGGCCTCTCACTTTTGCTCAATTACCCAAATGGGATGTGTTACCCCCAGGGTCGAGTGAAACCCCGAGAGAGGCCCCGAGGGCCCCCCCCAACCCACTCACCTCCTCCTCGAATTTCGACACAGCCTAGCAAGGACAGCGGGTGGAGGGATTCGCATAGAGGCCCGACAGCGCTGTTCATAACCAGCGGAGAGCTTGAGCACTGAAACCACTTACACTACCGATGGAGGAGTAGACACGCAGGCTGTTACAGCCCCTTATTGCTTACTGTGGCTTGAAGACACCACAAGGCACGTAGTGGTGACATAGTCCATTTGTGTGAAAGGCTAAGGGCAAATGTGTGACAGGTCAAACCATTGAGATTTCCAAGGTTAGAATTTAAAATCCCAGATCTAGAGATTTCAAACTCTAACCTTCCTCATCTTCACACTATTCCCTATTAGTCCTTTCCACAACAACTATTTCAGCCGTGCTCATTTGCTTCTGCTCTAGAACTTGTCTTTTGATTTCAAGCAAGATAATTGTCATACAAATCTCATTTAAAAAGAAAAACATCTATTTAAAGACAAATTAGTTTAAAAGCTCAAATAGTTCAACTATAAACAGAATGGCACTCAGAAATCAAATAAACATGGCTGCAAATAATTGACAACGTAGATTGACTAGGGCCGAAGCAGCAGCAACGGGAGCCCAGTTAGAGGAAAGACTAGTAACACCAAGAAGAAATTGTCAAGACAGGCAGAACGAAGCCAGATTGGAAAATCAAGAAAGTGAAGAAAATCGATTGCACGTACCGCGGCGAAATCAAGATATTAGAGAGGAAGATGAAGAATGGGGAGGAATTAGGGAAGAAGTAGAAGATGAGCAAGATCGAAGTGATGATCAGAGGGTTACCGATGAAATAAGTGATAGGATCAGGAAAGGTAAGGTAACACTCACTAATGTATCGATGCACCTTCTATTTCTCCCTCTACACTTCCTTCTCCTTTCAAACCCTGCGAGATAAGTTCAGTCGGACAAAAACGAATCAGGAGGACGTTAAAGCCTGGCCCGGCTACTAATAGGCGCCCAGCCTGGGTCGGCTTACAGTAGACACCTTGCCTGGTCTGGCTTATAATTGGACCCAGTCAACTCGGGCTTACAATACGCAGAACTCCTTTACGAGAACCACAAACCCCCTCCTTTTTCTAAAGTTCGAAAGATCGATAAGGAAATCCGGAAACTGATGGTCGGATGGAATTTTCCCTTGATTGACGTTTCCAGAGGCTAGACAAGAGGCCCTCGTAGAGCTGATCCAAGACGCCTACGATTTCAATGATGAGGCGGGAGCGAGACGCTTAACTCAGCGGCTAAATCAGGAGGACGGAGAGAAGGAACGTGAAAATCTTTACGTGATGGACAAAGATTCATCGAAGTCTTCAGACGACAAAGCCAACGTCAGGTCATTCTTGGTAGCTGAACCACACCCAAAAGCTCCAAGTGTAACGTTTGTTATGGAAACTCAGCGCCAACCTCAGCTAGACGGAACCCTCCCAGCCCCCTCCAAATCCAACCCAGCTCCAGACCAAACCACAGAATGGTTCCATGGCTGTAAAAGTCAAGAAGAGTCAGACAAAGCGAAGTCACTGTTAGCATCCAAGAAAGGATCTCTCACCTTGTCGAATGGCGATATGATCCACAACGGTCAAGTGCTACGATCAGGTCCAGCTAAGATGGGAGACGCCATCACTCCACTCTCCCCCCACTTAACAGTGAAATTGAAAGGTCTTAAGTCCTTCATCCCTCTGCCAGTCTTCGACGAGGAATTTTTGATTCGAGATCAAATGGCTTGGTCCTTGCTACCGCCAAAGTCAGAAGATAAGGCAGAGAAAGAGAAAAGGTTGTACGGTGGAGAAGGTCCAAGGGAGGAACTTACAATGGACTTCGAAGCCTGGAGCAACTGTATGGAGTTGATGTGCGTCCATTTAAGAGATCAGGATTGGGGCCCGGTAGCGGATCGATTCAAAAGTCACATGGTGATTGTGAAACAGCTACGGAAAGATTATGGTTGGATGGTGGCATTAAGGTACTGTCGATTGATGAGACAGGGGGTTATGAGAGAAACCATTGATAATTCCATGCGGAATTGGGCGGAATTGCAGGATCATCTGTTAGCTCAAGCAAAAACGAAAGCGGAGAGCTACAACGAGAGACATTACCGCACCAATCCATACGCGGAAAACGGTCCAAAAGCCAACATCTGCCCTTATCATAACATTTAATCCCAAAGCCACTTCGCTTACAAAACCTCAACAAAATACACAAGTATCCGTCGCTCCCCCTACAATTAGTTTTGGACTCAAGTCCGAAATCAACCGGAAACTTTCCCTCGCATCGATCTCTCCAACTTCGCAACATCCTCCATCATTATCAACACACATCTTGGCACCAGTCATACCAATAAATCATCCCTCCAATCATCCTTCAATCACAAACGTCTTTCACAAACAATTCCTTGCCGCCTCTATATCCCCAACCAATCCGTTCCACACATTGCGATCGAATTAACATGTGTCACACCACCAGTATGCGGCCGCCTGTGTGTCATACTGAACGTAATCAAGAACCTCTATCTATGATACCTCATTTGCCAACAGACGCGCAGTATATTATACCGTCAGTTCAACGTGGCCAAAGCAATTGATATTTACACTCACTATCCATACGTCTTCAAAACGCACAGCGACTTACCAATCATGGAATTGATTTGCTGTAGGAATCGTAGCAACACGGGATTTGCCATGCCATGTTGGCATGGTAATTGTCTATTTCATCGGACAACCAGCACAAGTGGCTTTCAGGTAATCATATCTTTCATTGGAGAACTGGTGCAGGCAACTTTCACGTGTCTCACCCTATTGGGTGACATTTATTTCCATATGTAATTCAGCATTTGCTACTTCAGCCATAGGTTATCCTATATAGCTCGAGTGCATTCGATTCTCAATTTCAATAATGATCATCAAAAACAAAAGATTCTCAATCTAAACCTGATGAATCTTAATTGATTCCTCAACACATGCCACCGATCAGTACCTTTTCTCACCCAAGGTTCAATGAAGAAATCAAACAAATAAGATGTCAGAAGGTCCCTGTGTTTCACCAAATCAATAGCCAAATCAAAACTGGTCGTTAAATCATATCATTTGTCAAATGAGTCTTTTGCAAGCTCATCAACTCAAAATTATTCTAGAATTATACAGGATTTTCGAATTGTTTAGTTTTCTTATGTCAGCTTTCAATCAATTTCTTGAAAACAATCATCATGTTCAAGATCAGAAGCAGACAAAGACAAAGAAGATCAAGCACAAGACTACCAGCCCCAATTTCATCAAAATCCTGACAATTTTGCCTCATGCCATCATCATTTAGAATGATCTGTTTCTTTAATTTCAGAAACCCGACATTACTTGAGTCAGCTGCTGCTCGTTCAAGCAATATCATCAAGACTTCTAATAGAAAGATGCCATTTTTTTACTTCAAACTTCAAACTTTTTCTGTATCCACTCCATCTGATAGTCAAATCAATAGCCGAATCAGTACACCATCATTACCTTCAGATCAAAACTTGGCGGCTCAATCTCAACTTAATCAGCTATCGAATCACATCACTCTCAAATGGTTATCCCTTTTACTTTCCAACTTACCTGTCCTTGATCTTATCAATGATCCTAATATTCCAAATCATCAGTTATTATACATTCACTCCAGTCAACCTTTAACTCAGATCAAATCTTCAATTTCAAGTTCAAACCCACTTGGTGATCTCGATTAAGTTCATATCTTATCCTATTCAGGAAGATGAACATACTAGTTGTTATTTACCTTACCCTCATGTCGTACCCGGTGGAGTGTTCTAGGACATGGATGTGTAAGTGTGAATTGGGTGCAATCAAATTACTTCAACCCAAGCTGATCTCATCTTATGTCTCCTACGCCTTGCTTTGTGTTGTCTATTCAGCTGGTATACCTTCTTCATTTCTGTTGGATTGTTCAGAGGCAACCAATTTCAATTGGCTCGTTATCGATCATCCAGAAAATCGTGTTATTCCAATCATCAACGATTTTCTTCTCGAATGCTTTTATTGTACAATATGTTGTTTCTTTACCCTTATTAAGTGAATATATAAAACAATCAAGTCCAGCGCAATCAACTTTTCATGATGATGAGGAAAACAGTCAAGAGAATTCAAAACAAGCCGGTATGTTTCATTCATCCTATACCTTGTCCTCATCGTTTTCAAAGGGACTGATCTCATACTTCTTTAGTTGAATAATTCAGGTATTCACGCAAGTGAGTTAATTCATTGTTGAGTATTGGATTGCTCAAACCTCAAAGCTCCAACACCCTTTATTGATTAAACTTTGCATCCTCCTTCTTTCATGCAAAATTCACGATCACAAGGTGTGGGGACTTTAATGAGCACCTGTCAGTTAGATTTCGAAATCAAACAAACTTATTTATTCACCAACTAATAAATGAAATTTCCTTTCCGTTCAAAACAGTTGCTAAAGACCATGCAGAAGGGCTTGTTACAGGGTGTAACAATAGGTTTACAAAAACACTTTGCACCATATTCGAATGGAGATCTACAATTACTATCACTGCCAACATAGACCACGATCCAAATCATTCAGCAACACACTCAATAAAATACTAACTGGCATCAATCTCACTTCAATCATCAATTTATTCAGCAAAGTGGTGAAGAATGTCATTATCAGGGAAACTTGGATCGATTTCAAATACAAAAGAAGCCAAAGAATATCTGAAAAATTCCATTCAGATGCAACTCTTTAGGATGGGAATAATGATGAGTCTCTGCACGAATCTCAATGGGTGAGATTCACAGTAGAAAAAGTATTCTACATATTTTGATGGATTCGACGTTCGTGGTGCAAATGGTTGGTCAGGTATGAATCTCTTTGAAAATGATCTCGAAAATACTCATTTGTGGAAACTTTAACCAACCAAAAAGTACTGATCTTTAGTTCTATTGTTTTTCTCGAAGACTTTGATTTTAGCCTTTGAGGAAGAAATTTGAGGGTCATGACTCATTACCAATAAATGATTCAATAAATTTCACAATCCAAAATCTACAAGAATGTTCCAACCATTCAAAACTATTTGACAGTTTCAAACCAAGTCAATCCTCTCTTTATCTCTCTCTCTTACAAACTTACTTAATTATTAACATCTGTTTTTATGTATAGATTAAAGCATCTTCATTAAACAAACCATTGATAGCTTAATTGATTCGATCCATATTTCCGATGACCAATCAGCTTTTATGGATTTGGATTCTTCTATCATCACTGGTAAGCTCTTAACCACTATTTCATTTTTGATTTATTGATCTGACCATCTGTTTTATTATGTTTACAGATCCTTTCATGTTGATTGAGAGCCGAATGCTTCAAGTTCAAGGATATTGATCGGTCTGACGAATACGATATAACAGCATTGCCAAAAAGTCCTCCTGCGTTCTCAGATTCCATGTCAGCTTCGATGGTTCTCTGTCGTTCACGTCTTTTCTTCGATATTGAATCCGCTTCTTCCTCAGCCTTTGTTTGGAGCTCAGAAAGTTAATCCGCTTCTTCAGCCTCCTTTTCAGCGATCGCTTCCATTGTTGCAAAGAGGCCCTTTCGGTTTCAGCGCCTCTTGATTTTTCTCGCTATCAGAATCTTCAGACACCTCACAATCAACTTTCTTTACATGATAAGATTGAGAAAACTAATGCAGATCATAGGTCTTTGGTTCCCGAATTAGGTAAGATTGAGGATGATGCGATTGGGTTTGAAGAGCTTGCTGAATCAGGAATCAAAGATGTGAATGTAGATCAGGTATGTGGGGAATATATATATATATATATATCATGAAAGGAAAGAAAGAAAGTTGACTTGGTTAATTTGATTTGGTTATCAGAGTTTCTCACATACATATTTTAGTAACAGGTATGAAGAAGGAACTGAAGGACTGTCAAAGAAAAAGAAAAAATTGAAAAGGTTAGTAGAGAAGGAAATGAAGGAGAAGACAATTTTGGATGGAAAGGAGGATCTGATGATGAAATTGAAGAAGAAGATGACATGGATGAAGATGAAGTTTACAAATTTTTTAATCATTTGAATGAAGAACACATCATGATTGAAAGACCAGCCGATCAACCACAAGGAGCACTAGATCAATCATGAACCTTTCAGCTGATAAAGTAGGATTTACATCACTTTGCAACACACAAAGTGGAGGAGAATTATCATTCAAAGCACTTGAAGAAAATTCATCAGAAGATCAAAGTAAATGTAAACCAATGGTAAGCCTATCAAAATCAGAATCAGGATGTGATTTAAATTGAAATCAAATTATAAAAATGTATGAACTTGATGAAGCATGAACACATTTCATCTTTTGATGGATTTGAAACTGATGATTGATAAGTGATTGATGAAGGAGATCATGATATTGCATTAGAATAATTAGATGGAGTTTTGAATCAGTTCCAACAAATAGAGTTTTGAATCAGACTCATCCAAATAAGGGTGAACCAAGACCATCAACCAAAAAACAGAGCAGAAATTGAAATCAAATAAAAACAATTGAATCTAACAACAACAACAGTATCATCATCATCATCCAAATTTTTAACTTTGGCATCTATTCCTAGAAGGTCTTTGATTTCAAAAGAAAATCCAAAGATGAAATCTATGGGAAAGTCCAACTGAGTTGGAGAAGTTTTTGTATCAAAATTGAGTTAAAACCATTGAGTAATCAAAAGTTTGGGAATGATTGGGTTACAATTAGAAGGATTGAAAATGAATGCATTCAGTTGAATTTTTTCCCTTTTTTTCCTGTCTTTAGAATTCAAGCAACTGATTTGGTTTTGTTATTTTACCTTCTTTTTACCATATCAAAAAATACCATGACAGGTTGTTCATAACTTGGTTTGATTCTCAAATAAAAACTGCTTTGATTGGTGTGATATTATTGTCATCCCCATATCAACCTAATTAAAATTGTCAAAGGTAGGACATCTTCAACAACTTCTTTGATGAACTCTCCCTCATTCTCCTTATTACAAATTAACAAACACAGCACTCCAACTCCTTACATGATCATATCTATCCAAATCAGACTGGCTACCAACCAGACCAATTCAAGGCTTCTAGGCGATATCATATCAAGACTGAGATCTCAGTCCAGAGCTAAGAAACTCGATTTAAAATGACAAATTTTGATTTGATTCCAATCTATGAATGATTGGATTTTACCAAATTCCACTCACTTTCCAAGTTGTGAATTTTGAAAAAGTCTGGAGCTGATCATACTTTTTATAAAACCTGATGCAGATGCTGATTGGTTATGTAAAAATTATGCCCAACAATTGATTGAACTGATTCATTGGAAACTTGATATCCTAACCCACATTCAATTCAAGCTTTGGATCACTTTTTCAATATACAAAGATGTGATTGAATTCACTTCAGAAAACAAAAGCTCTCTATCACCATTTTTATATGTATGGTTTCACATAAACGCTGCCGTCTTGAAATTTGTTGTCAGCATCCAAAATCTGGTCTTACCATTTGCACTTTGGATTCTGATTTTCAGGTCTCTTGATAGTTCTGACAATGGTCAAGAAGAAAAAGAAAATGATACAAGATGTTCCACATCCAGAAACTGGTCTTATGGTTCTTCAGAGACCTAAAACCATAGGAAATATTGATCTCTAACACAATGATCATTCCCTATCTATGTGATCAAATCTCAAAGTTTCAGACCGTGCAAAACGTTCTCTACATTTGACAGGAAGATTATCAGCTTGGATGCTTTGGGTGAATTGTCTGATGTCAGAGGCATTGTCTTAGAAATGCCCAAAATAAATAATGAGCTCCCCATTCTATATTGATCAAAGGCTTTGAATGGCATGAAGCTCAATAGTATGTTTCAAATGACAAAATTAACATGATCACGCCCAATAGTGTGCTACAGCTCTTGAACAAATAAAACCCCTGATGTTGGTACGCCTGGCTTTAAAGGAGCATGCATTATTGCTCACATCAGTCAGCTTGGATAGCATTGGAAACAGCTAAAAGCAACATTGTTTTCAGAGCTTGACATGGCGGCGCCCGCCGCCCAATTGGCTAGTACCAATCAAACAAAAACATCGTCGTCTAAACCAGTAGCAAGCACAAGCTACAACACGGTCAGTAGTTTTCATAATACAAACACCAACACAAATTGTCATGCTAGCACGAGTACGTATCGCGGGAACGGGGGAGGCAGAAGAAACCGTGGAGGCCAAACATGGAGTAGAGAGAAAGACCAAGACACGAGAGGCCCAAGATGGGGAGACGAGAAGAAGAGAGAGCGCAGCAGGAGCCCCGAGAGGCGTTACGACAAGAAAGGCGCAGACGGGAAATGGAAGCGACCATAAGCTGTGGTGGTTAAAACCAAATGTTGTATATGAAATGCAGTACCTTTTATGGTAGACTGATACTGGTCCAATACAACCACGCCGTATGTGTGGATGTGTCTTTGCCTTGCTTGCGCCAAAAACCTGAAACAGCGCATTCGCCGCCCCTTCTAATTCCCCCTCACCCCCAGATCTTAGTCAGACAACCTTGAGAGAAGAAGACAATCATTCTGATCGGAGACGTCGGGCCACCTTCAATTGCAGAGGAGAGGATGTAAAGAGCTGGCCTAAATCTTCGTCCTACGAAATGAATCTAACGGTTTGGGAAGAAGTCTTGAGAAGCACAGGTTTGTATCAGAAACACAAACACATACTACAAATGTTTGAGACTGGTTTCTCGCAGGGAATAGAAAACGCAACCGTACCCTCACATCGCTTCTATTGCCCGCCAAATCATTCGTCAGCAAGACAAGCAAAAGATAAAATAGAGGCAAGCTTCAAGAAAGAGCTATTAGCGGGGAGGATGTATGGCCCTTGGCCGCAAGAGGAGGTCTTTCGCCAAATTGGTTTCTTCAGGACAAACCCGTTAGGCGCAGTTGTAAATGGGGACGGATCGTTCCGTCCTATAAGCGACTTGTCGTACCCTAGACATATACAAAACATCGAATCAGTGAACAAGAATGTGGATAAGGAGGATTTTGAAACCTCTTGGGACAATTTCAAGAAGGTAGCTTGGTTCTTCATACGGTATAAGGAAAAACTGTTGTTGGGGATCTTCGACTGGGCCAAAGCTTACCGACAAATTCCGGTAGCGATGGATCAGTGGCGTTTTTTGACGGTACTGGACTTCAACAACGAAGTGTTGTTGGATACAAGGGTGCAATTTGGCGGGGTATCAGGTTGCGGCACGTTCGGATGGGCGGCAGAAACCTGGAAAGAGGTAATGGTAAAGAAGTTTGACATGTTAGCCGGTTTCCGCTGGGTAGATGATACATTATTCGTGAAACCCGTTGAAGACACCCATGCAGGACAAATGATAGACATTGTGCAAGAAAGTGAAAGAATGGGTGTGGCGACAAACGAGGAAAAGTGGCAAGAATTTGATTACGTCCAAAAGTATCTGGGTTTTGAATGGAACGGAGAAAATAAAACAGTCAGCTTACCAAAAGACAAAATCAAGCTACGCATAAGTCAAATCGAGGAGTACTTACTGGAAACTAAGCAGTCCTTCAAGGAGACGGAAAAACTTGTAGGACGGTTGCAACACACAGCGTACGTCTTTCCACAAATGAAAGTGTACTGCGCAGCAATATATCGGTTGTTACAACAATGGAAGCACAAATACGCCTTACGAGAAATACCAGAAGAAGTTAGGGAGGACCTAAATATATGGAAGGAGACTCTGCAGACGGCGAACCCACTTCGAGTAATTCCAAAACCGGAAACGCAAACAATCGGGTGGGTGGGAGATGCATCAACATCCTATGGTTTAGGGATAATTGTGGGGAAACATTGGTCTTGGTTTAAACTGAAGAAAGGCTGGGATGCGGCGGAACGAGATGGAACAAGGAGAGGTATTGCCTGGGCGGAAACAATCGCAATCAGGATCGGCTGGATGATGGTGAAGAAACTAAGAAAGGTAGAAGGAAACACTTACCTAGCCTTAACCGATAACACCGTGTCAGAAGGCGCAGTGAACAACGGGAAATCACAAGATCCTCTGGTAAATAGAGAGTGGAAGGTTATTCAGAAGGACCTTTTGGCTCACAACAGTGCGATTGAAGCAAAACGTGTCAAGTCAGAAGATAATGCCGCCGACGCATTGTCGAGAGGCTTTGACTCCACCAAGAAAACATGGGACAAGATGACAGTAGACATTCCAGATGACTTAAAACCTTTTATTGTACAAACCTGAAATGTATATTGTTAGAGTGTGCTTGAGACTGATAAGGTGAAGTTGTTACGTTTGAGACCAGTGAGACAAAGTCGTTTTTTGGCCCATGACTGAGACTCGAAGCCCTATATAGGATGCAAACGCAAGCTGAAGACTCCAAGAGGAGAGAAGAGGTAACAAAAGGGAGAGCTGAGGGAAAAAACTAGTGGAAAGAGAAGGTCGTGATCGACGGAGAGTGAGAAGTGACACTTTGACGCCTCGCTGGAGAGTAAGGTGAAGGGAGTTATTACCCGTAAGCGACCGACCCAAGACACCTTGTACCACAGTCCATACGGGGATGGAAGGATGGAACCTCTGGACCCCTCCAGACCTTGAGATTGTTCAATAAACTCCTCAACTATGCCACCTTATTGATTGCCTAAACAACCCATCCAAAACCGAGGTGACTCAAAGTCAGATCCACCGGGTCATTTCGGCACTGCGCTCATGACAGCCTCTGGAACCGGAGTTCATATGGCTACCAGCAGTTGGGCAAAGTCAACCTTGAAAGGCTACTCGTCAGGACTGTCGAAGTTCATTGAGTACATCGAATCAAAAGGACAAACCTTCGATGAACGCCTGCGGATTCAAAGTAACGACATCTACGGCTTCATCACATGGGCGGGTCGATCAGGGGTAGTAGTCGGAGTTCAACCTAAAAGGAAGATAGCTTCGAAGACGATCAATAAGTACATTGATGGAATTCAAGCATGGCACGTGGTAAAGCATGTCAAGAAAATAAAGTTAAATGAGTCGATCATGAAACTGTTAATTCGAGCTACTAAGAAGGAAGAAGAAGGGATCTTACTCACCGCGAACAAGAAACCCGTCACCGTTCAACAACTATT